TGAACAAAAAAGTCATTTGTCATTTTGCAAAATTTGCAATATTTATTGAGTAATTAATAAATGTAATCCAATGAGAGCGTGGGAAGCAAAGATTCGGACATTTTCCTTTACAACTGAAAATTATACACACGCCTACAGAATTTGAACCATCGCTTCCCACGCGCTTATTGATTCACTTGTTATCAATTAATAACTCATTAACTATTGCAAACTTTGCAAACTGTGGCAAATGACTTTTCTTTTCAGATTAATCCAATTTACCCATACAGTTAGTCAAAAGTTTTTACCCTGTACATTCCTTTACGTCAAGAATAACTCGTAATTTCTTTGTTAAATATTTTCTATACACCGCGAATGATTTAACGCAACTCAAAAGTAATATTACGAGTTTGAACACACAGGAATACTACATAAATAACTCATAAGCATGGTGTAGTCGTGATAGTTACTAGTTTATCGAAAGCGTTGGAATATTTTGCATATCATGTATCGAGATACCAATATATCTCGCCGTGAAATTTGTTTTTTATTTTTTTTAATTTTTTAGTCGAGGTTTTTAGTTATTTAGTTACGATATTTACAAAGTTTAATAATTTTAATATTTACAAGGTAGCGAGTTTTATAGAAAATTAAAAACACATATTTGACGCGATCCCATTTCCAATTGCGATGTTGTATTTTGCCTAAAGCATTTCACTTTATGTATTGTGACCGTACAGTTCTAGAAATCATAAATTTTTAAAGACGACCGGTTCCAGACAGACATCTCTATATGACCGTTTTTTTTCTACAGACAAATAAAACACACGTCGTGTTGCGACACGATATTCTTTTATTTATTTATTTTTTTTTATTATTTGTGAAGTCATCAAACCGCACAATTCACCAACAAAACAAAGTTCATCAACAAAGAAGATATAAAAATCTTTTTGAGTACTCACCAGAGGCCGTTTCGGTATCGTTGCAATAGGCTGAAACAAAAGAAAAAACATATTTAAGTTCCAAAACATTTATACATATTTTTTATCGCGGTAATGATAGGAATGTTACGCGTAATTGAAAGAGAAAATACGTGTGTATAGTTTTGAAAATAAAATTCTCTCGGAAAATAAACGCAAAACACACAATCCCAATGAGGAAAACTAGGGTTCGGACAAAGTGCGGCGGCAACGCAGCGCGGCGCGGTACACGTAGAGCCAGAATCCGCCATACATATTATGTGAAAGTACAGTAATTTAACAGCATACGAGAATTCCTGGAAACAATTTGCGAGGCAAAGCCGGTAGCCGCTCATAAAATACAGCGAGAAAATACCACGAATTAGCGCGAGAGAATTCACAACAAAGCGCAGAAATTATTGGAAAGCGTCGTGCCCTCGCCATCTTTCTAATTCCTGTCGTCTCGTACATTTTTTTTGCGTATGTAGAGTAAGGAATCTAAATTTCGTTTTTTTTTTTCAGTTTTTTTAACCTTGTATTCAGAATGTAATGAATGTTCCGACTTAAAAAAATTCGCACGCCTGGTTCAAACCCTCTAGTATGAATCCCTAAAACTCTCTTGTACAAAAAGAGAAAAAAAATGTGAGAGCATGAATTTTTGACGTTTCAAACAGTGTTTCTAATTCTGTTCCTTTTAGATTTGTCTCAAAAAGAAGTTGAAACTTTGATCTATGAAAATTTAAATGTGTTTTAGAAGCGCCATTATCTATGACAAAAATGTGATTTTACGTGCGAAAAGTAAACAAGATGCGAACAAAATACAGAGCTTGTAGTTTTTTTTTCATTGTTAATATTTATTCGACATTTCGTTCGTTTTTTTTTTTTTTTTTGCATTTTATTTGTATATAGACGCTAATTTAAAGGTTATCTTATTATTTGCATTTTTAATTTGATCAAATGTTATAAAAATCCATATCCACTATATATCACGGTAAGTGGTCTTCCCGGAGACAAAGTATGCCAGATTTACATTTTATATTTTTGCAAAGTAATTTTACGCGTGGCGTGAGATTACCATTTTGTGACATTAAAATAGAGGTCAATTACTACACCTGCGCGAAATTTTAGATAAAAAGAACGTATCTTTTACATCAAAAACAAGCTTCAAACCGAAACCTGCGCTACAGTGGGGCTGCCCGCAAACCATCTACATGTTATAAACTTGCAACAAAAACAACGATTACGCTCGTAACGCGATAATAAGGTTTTTTGCGTGCGTTCCACTAGTTCCAGTGATTTCCAACAGATCGCAGTACCTAATAACTGAGAAGAATTTAGGCGCTGCATTAGGCGATATAGTTTACGCCACGAATGTACTATATAACCGGGAGCGTTTAAATAGTTGAATCATTTAAAAATATTTCGAAGAAGTTCGCATGCAAATTATTCAATAAAAACTTTGAAGTAAAAAAGACAAGATATAATATAAATGTATTCTTTTTCTCACACACATCTTAAATGATAATTCAGTAACACACCCGTGCTGTATAAACTTGACCCGAGCGCGTTTTTTTTTTTTTTTATATATAATCTAAAGCACCGCTGTGTGAAAACTCAGTCAACTATCTAGCTTGAATTAGCAAAGTGTAGCAATGTCGTCGTTTTTTAATCTCTCTCGTATAAAATGAGTCTCGTGAATGTAAAAGAGAAGAGTGCTTTCTGTGCTCTACTGAGATGGTTTTGTTCGCTCGTCCATTTTTAACAAAAAAACAAAAAAAAAACAAAAAAATCGCTGGCGCGATCGTAAAGGCGTCAAAGAACCGGAGAAAGGCGGCACTTAATATTTGCAAACGGTAAGAAACCAATCCAACTCTTTGAATACAACCCCGAAGGTAAATTTTGTATGATGTTCACAAAGCGTCGTCCTTTAAGCTTTTTCGCCGAGCGCGACGTGACTAACTTTAAGCGGTAGCTTTTTCGCTTTTTCAATGGAGGGTAATAACGAGCATCGCTTGTTTGTGTTCCTCCAGGCGGTTCGCTTCTCGTCCCGTTTAAAATCTCAGAGCAAGTGTAATTATTATGCGTATAAATAATAAACAAAAATGATAATTTTAATAATTCATGATATTCGTATTTATTTTTTCAGTTGGAAAGAATTCGAAAAGCTCTATCAAAAACTCAAATATTGCGATACGTTATGAACGTCGGTCGCGGTTGCATGTGTGCGAGCGCGAGAGAATCAATGATGCATTTATATTTATTTATGCGATTTTCCATTTTCTGCATGACACGTATGTGTCCAAAACCGTGACATTTGGTCGCGAGGTCGTCGCATATGCACGTTGCCCCACGGAATATTAAATGCGGCCAGAGAGCGCCGGATTGTTTATTTATTCAAGCTGCGCGCATAACACACCTCGACGGTGTGCATTCATCCGCCCGTTTCTCCGCCGCTAAACTCAGGGCCAGGCCAGCTATTAAGACAGATGGCACGGAGATTATTTACGAGAAATGCGCACCTGAGCTCGCGCGCATTTTCAATTTCGGACTCGATCGAACGCGCAAAATATATGGAATTTGTATTACGCGAATTCAATATGTGGAAACAAATTTATGCAATTTCGTAAATACGTAACTTGAAAAACCCTCAATGCAGACACATATTTTATTTAGCGACAAATTCGCGATACGCAGAAATATGCATTATACACACAAACAGTATTGATAAAAATAATGCGTTTATCGTAATAAAGATTTTAAAAAATGCAGAATATAAAAACTAATCATTGAAAAAAGAACAAATAAATTGATTTATGTCACAGTGACAAAAGCGACGTATAAAGTTCGCGAAGCGAATTTAAAAAAATAAAACAAACACTTCACCATAAAATATCAGATTATGACTTCACTCTCTTTCCGATACGAGAGAAAAGATACGTACGTCGGGGAATGATAATTTTTCCACCTTTTATCGGCACCGCGTGGATCTTTTGACCTAGCCGCATAGGAATTTATTAGCTTGCCGTAGGCGCGTCGCTGCTAAATCGTGAGTTATCGCGGCATTGTTATCTCTATCGACGACGAGCAACGACGACGACAACGAGCGACACAACGACAACGACAACGACAACGACAACGACAACGACGACGACGACGACGACGACGACACCGATACGAGTCGAGAATTGGGACAACGACCTCGGTGCTCGCTCGAAACAAAGAGCGAGCGTGACTACGGCACTGATGCCTCCAGCAAAGAGCCTGGTGTGTGCTTTTACGCATGGCGCAAGGTTCCTCCGGCCACGAACGTGACGCGTATATGCACTCTCTGCTTCGTTCCTCTTCTTAAACGGTAAAACATGTCGAAGTCGACGTAAGGCACGGACGGAAAGCCGACCGTGGGGGAAAGGGGTATTATTCCGCTAATATAGCCCGCTTCTCGTAAGTGGTAACGTCGTCGCAACCCGACGTCAGAACTACGCGTTTAGCGTAATGTCAGTTAGTATCATTTAGGGTAAAACAGTGTAATTACACGTAGAATCCACCGTATTTTACGCGACGCTGTAATTTCGCTCGTAATTTATGCGGCACCGTAATTTCAACGGGACGCGAGCGAGCCGCCCCCACGCCTCGCGCAGAATGTGCGGCTGAACGCAAGAGGAATGAATTATTGCACAGAGCGCGGCATCGACAGCGCATCTGTGACACCTATGACATCATGGAAAAAAAAAAAAAAAAAAAAAAAAAAAAAAAAAAAAAAAAAAAAAAAGGTATACAACTGTATCACATTCCCGGTCGCCTATACCTGCAGCGAATATCGCGCGCGTTATTCCGCGTTGCTCGTATTTAACAGTCGGGGATAAAAGAGACGATGAAATTTTGAAGAAAAAAAAAGAAGAAGGAACTGTTGTATCACGCGCGTATTGCGGACACAGTGGCTTTTGGCGTGGCACGAAAGGACACGATTAACGGTTTTCTCCGGCGTATTGTGTGTCACCCTCCACGCAAGAGATCTTTTCATGGTCCTGGCGCAGAGAGAAAAGAAGCGAGGCATTAAATTTTCAACGCGATTGTAACTCGCGGTCAGGAAGTATGCTTTAAGTGGTGATAACTATAAATAAAGAGACGCGCATTAATTTTTCGACGAGTTATATAGCTTCCAAGCGGGTCTTTTTTTGCGTAGTATACACGTACACAAACGTGCGCATGTGGTAAATTTTAATTTTTTCGATCAAGTTCACTTCAATGTAAAATGTGACATTTGCATACTAAGAGAATAACTTTGTTGTATTAAATTTGTATAGTTGTTTGATTCAACAATTATTTAGTTGCGCTAAAAAAGATATAGTTCTTTCATATAAACTATCAAAATTCTTTAATTAACTCTTCGTGGCTAGACTTCAAAAATGACAAGTTAATCAGACCGGATCTGTGAGACCCACGCGACTTTAAGATGAAATATCTTCGCGAAAAATCAATATTTTTTCAATTTCTTTTTTTTTTGAGTCAAAAGTTTGAACTTTTGCGTTGATAAAAAGAAAACAAATTGAAAAAATCTCCAGTAGTTTCAAAGATATAAACGTTTAAAAAAAAACTAATTTTTTCTAGAAACGCCGATGCGCAATTTCTGAGTGAATCTGGGAGACTCACGTTTGACTACGAAGAGTTGAGATTTTTTGTGTTATAATAGTAATGTTTAGTTGAACGTATCGGACTAAATATTTAGTTAAATGAAACACAGTTTGTGTTCTTCAATAACTTTTTTTTTCTCAACGCATGCACTGAACCAACAAACTTGTATAGAATGACAAATAATATAATTTGTTTAATCGTTAATGCACCGCGGTCGATCAACGTTGCATTGCACGCTAATACAGATTACAGATTACGTCTTGTGTACGTTAGCTTCGCGCTTTTTATTTAATTCTCCTCTTTATTTTATTCTCCCTTTTTTTTTCTTTTCAATTCTATCGTTTGCCCGCGACGAGAAAAACGAGGCGCGCGCGAAGATCTCGCACGTTCGACAATAAGTG